GGGTTATACTTTGGAAACTCACCAAAAGATTTAGCAGTCTTAAAACTTTCCTCACCTTTGGCTAAATAAGACTTTCATGTATACAACTAATGGTGGGGGACCAGGACCCAAAAAGTCAGCACGGCCTGTTTGGCACAAAACAAGAAAAGAAACCAGAAAGATGTATAGGTCATCCTTATATACAATCAAATATAATGTCAAAAATTGAGTTTCAAGATTTGCACAAAAAAAATTAAGCCTTTTTTTTTGTTGGGGGTTTTTTGTTTGTGTTTTTGACTGGGGTTTTTTTGGGGGGGGGGGGGGGTTTTTTTGTTTGTTTGTTTGTTTTTTGTTTTTTGTTACTCTATTAAAGAAATGGAACTGACAAAGTGCAATCCCTCATTTTGGTCAGTGCTGTTCAGGGCAGCATCTGTTCCAACTCAAGCAAGACAACTTTGAAAGCCATACTTTATTTTTCTTTTTCTTTCCCCTGGCAACTCTCAATTACTTGATATTTTAATTTTTTTCTGGTGTTGTAATGTATATTCAATTACTTAAAAATGAAATTATTATTTATTACAGGTATATAGAACTGTAGGCAGTGCAAACACTGAAATTGTCAGCAAATTCTTGGACACAAGTCTTTTACCAAGTGTTCCTAAATCAGCAATTGGTTGTAATGGCCTATTTATTTCTCAAAGCTGACAAAGTGTCACAAAATTTATTTCCATCAGATGAATGTTAAGAACCTGTTTCACCAATACAAACCTTAGCTTTTAATGTTGATGCAAAGAACTTAGTTGACTATAGAGAAGACATATTTTTTTTTTTAGTAACATGAAATGAACACAATAGACAAAGGAACGTTGAAATTGTTTATTGCCTGCAGCATAATTCTGCATTTTATGAGATAGGCTGGAAAGTGGACATAGAGCTTCAGAGGAAATGAGTTTCTCTCTTTTGACATGTTCACTAACTAAAAGTGAGAATTTCCTTTTTAGTGTCAACAACTACTGGTAGGATATAGGAAATGCAGCTTCTCTAGGCCTAGGAAAAAGATCAGAAACAGGATTTATATTAGGAGATGCCCAGTGCTAATTACACGTTTGTAAGGTTTGTGAGCACTTGTGAAATGTCAACCTGAAGACGTTCTGTGTATTTCCACAGACGTTCTGTGTATTTCCACGGTCAAAGTTCTGTGTATTTCCACAGCGAAACAGAAACAGCCTGAAAGTTGACCTTTAATGGTCAGCATTCCATCCAGCAACACATTTGGATCAATACTGACTAAACCACACCTGTCCAAAAGTAGGAACCATGATAAAAAAATTACAAATTTGATGATTTTTGTGGTTGAGTTCAGTGAAGATCCCTGCTTGCATGAGAACCAATCGGCCTCTGAGAACACCAACATTCAGAAAATCCCAAAGAAAACACTCCTCCTTTTTATGATTTTTCAGTAACTATACAAATGGGCATTTGCAAGCCATTTAATCGAAAAATCTAGAAAGGGCTAAAGTCTCATGGGGAGATCTGACAAGAAGGTACCATGTTTACATTGGGGAATATAAAATCATTTTATGTTTAAGGATTTGTTTATAGCAGTCAACGTTTTAAGAGTAATCAGAGATTGTATTAGACAATCACAGCTTCTCCACAGATATTATTCCAAGTTCTGTTTTCTGTATGTTCCTTTTCAGAATGCAGCACTGCAGAACAGGCATACAAAATGGGCTAAATTGAATCCTCAACTGTAACATAAAAGATCTGGGTTTTTTTTTATTATTATTTTATTTATTATCTTTTATAAGGGGGGTTGAGTGTGTGAGGGTGGTTTAGTCTAGTAGGTTTATTCTTTTTTTTTTTTTTAATAATTAGACTTCTTTTTTATGACTGCAACCTCCCGAGACCAAAAAGTACTGTGAAAGGCTGGTGCCTGTGTGTTTTGATGAGCAACTTCTTGGGGACATCAGGTGCCAGAAGAAACCCTTTGGCCTGGCAGGGCGCAGTGAACGGACTCGTCTGTGAAGGCCATCGGCAGTCTGCTGCTTGTCACTCCGAACTCTGCAAAGCCGGGAAGCCCACTCTGCCAGGGCGGCAGGAGTTCGAGGTGAAAGAGAAAAAAAAGAAACTTGCCATCTCTCATTAAGATTTATTATACGTCTGAACTTTTGTAGTCCCGAAGCTTAACGACAGATGGTGGTGTAACTCCACCAATTTTGTAACGTCTCCTTTTCTTTGATGTTGTAACACAGATTCTCCTCGACTTGACTTCGGTTAAAACCAGCATTTTCTGCTCTTTGCCAAGTGTCTCGGAGCAGTACGCAGGGAGGAAAGGGAGTGCACCTAGTTCGAAGAGGAGTCTGTTACGTGTTCTTATTCGCTTTCTAAACAATCCTAATAGAAAATAGCAATCTTATTGACACCTAACACTGCCAGCAGCACAGAGAAATTACATTAAATTAATTAAAGGAAAATGGTTTCAAAGCGGTTTATTTCAAGCGAGAAATACAATTGTGCAGATGAAATCTTGAACCGTAAACAGGAACAAATAAAACGCACCAGCGTTTTTCATTAGAAAGCCAAGTCACATTTTATACCGTAGTCGTCCTTGAAAAAAAAAAAATTGGGATAAGTGCGTGTTTGTTTAGCTTTAATTTTGGGTGGAACTGCCAAGTCGCGCCGAGCAATATTAGCGGCCAAGCGCCGCGTTGTTCCCGGCACATTGTGCCCACCAGACAGAGAGTCTGCCTGCGAGGCCACACTGAACACGATGAGGGGTTCGTGGAACAAAGCGCAGCCCGGAGGGAAGGCTGGGAGTGCTGCGGGCACTCCCGAGAGCGGACGGCGGCCGGCCCGACGGCGGCGGCCCGCGGCAGGGCAGGGCCGGGCCGCGCCGGAGCCGCGGGTCG